CGAGGTATTTGCGGCGACCCAATTGAGACAACATGTCGTCCCTAATACCTTTAGGGGCGACTTTCTTGACTATTTGCGACGCTTTTTGTCGTCCCTAAATGTGCTTTTTCTTGTTGTGTAAAAGCACATGCAATATACAAGAACAAATATGGTTATTCAATTCCAACTAATATATATTTTTTTCTCCAGTAAGTTAAAACCAGTGGTCAAATTTAAGAAGTAGAAGATTATGTTTGAATGTTTGAGATAACTAGAGATATCGTAGGGTTTGGAAAGATTGTGACAACAACAAAGCCAAGATTGCCTTGTGTATTGATTAGTGACACTGAATAATGAACTACATGATGCATTTGAGAACCGTTTGGGCAAGTAAGATCCATATAGGTATAATAACATCCACATAACAACATCTAAAGTTTATCTGACATGCTTTTCATAGATCTCTCAAGATATGATAGAGATAGAGATGGACGTAATGAAGATTCAATGAATTGACAATGGAAATAGGAGACGAGTGGAAGGAGTTTGTGCATTGGAATAAGTTGACCCGCTTGAAGAATGAGGTGGATGGAACATACATTGTTGACCCATATGCTCGTTAGTAGTTATTTTAAAATGTACGCACCATTTTCAAATAATGCTTCACACGTAAGTATGATCCATTTAAAATAACTTAACGATTATTTAAAAAAACTCCATAAAGTGTAAATGAGTCCTTATCGAATTGCATTCAGTAGCATATAGAAAAACAATCACATTTCATAAATGTACACTGCTAATGTCGCAATTTGTCCAAAATGGAGTTTGGTCGAAGACTATTTAAATGTAGAGGCGACAAAAATTGACAAGACACGAAACCCGACACGAAATAAACGAGTTTTGTAAGATATTTCAACTCGTTTAAATAAACGGGTTGACACGACATGATACAAATATTAAACGGGTAAGGTTATGGTTGAGAATTTTCACTCGAATATAACTCGAAAATGACTCGTTTATTTATATGCAAGTTTTTTGAATTCTGTAAATAAACTAGAAAGATACAAAACCAAAATAATAAGTAAAATAAAACCTTTGGATCAAGTCGTTTTGTAATGTTGAAATGACTTAGCCGTCTAGATCAAGACTTCATTTTCAATTTTTCTGTTTTCTCCCAAACTACACAGTCCCTTTGACCACTTTCTCATCCTTGTGATCTTGTCTTCCGCCTCCTCAACTCTTACTCTTTCAGTTTTGTCATATGAACTTGCTATGACTTCATCTATTCCGTCTCCAAACTATTAGTTTTTCCTTTCCGTCTACCAAACTCCTACTCTTTCAACATACTTAATCTTTTAACCTCACATGACACGACATATTTCAAGGTATACCCCTAACATGAAACCCGGCACGAAAATAAACAGGTTGACACGACGCACCACATTAATTAAATGGGTCGGGTTAGGGTCAAACACTTTCAAACCGTTTAATGTTTCGACAAGACACGATTGCTACATCTATTTTAAATATGCATAGGAAAGAAGCACATTTGATAAATTTACCTCGCTAATCCCATAAATTACTTGTGATAGTAGGCGGTTGAAACTAGCTTTATAAAACATTTATGACAAAATTGCAAAAATGGTCTCTATGGTATGCATTTTTTTTTAGGTTTTGTCCAAACCTCGATTTTTTTGGATTATGGTCCTTTTGAGCTACTTTGGTTGTGGTTTTAGTCCCTTGCTAAACCAAAATGACTAATCTACCCTTTTAATTTGTTTTTTTATTTTCTTGAATATTTTTCCCTTTTATTTAAAATTTTAAACGTAAAAATGGATAAAGAGGGGTCTCTCTCTCTCTCTCTCTCTCTCTCTCTCTCTCTCTCTCTCTCTCTCTCTCTCTCTCTCTCTCTCTCTCTCAACCACTCCGTATCCCCCATATTCATGTTTGTCTTCTTCACCTCACTTGCAAGTCGAAAATACATCTTTAATACCCGTACAACTTTTGTATAAATCCAATCAAGAAATCTTATATGAGGGTGTTTAGATAAATTAGATTATAGTTTATTAGCTTATAGCTTATTAGCTTAAAGCGGTGAAAGAAAGCAGCTTTTGTAAAAGTGTTTGGATTAGAAATAAGCAATAAGCTATAAGCAAGGGGGAGATGCTTATTAAAATTAGTTTATTTAGCTTATCCCCACCACAATAAAATGATTTTTAGAGTACAACTTTTGTATAAATCCAAACCCTCTTTTTTCGCTATCCAAACACCTTCTATGCTTCCAAAACCAGAAAATCAAGAATCCGACGTAGCTCTCAATCGATTAACAACATGGGGCATTACCGTCATTTCAGTTTACCGAGGGATAAATATATATTAAATTAAAAATATGAAAGAAAAATGGATAAATATATATTAAATTAAAAATATGAAAGAAAAATGAAAAATAAATACATGATGGCATTACCGTCATTTCAGTTTACCGAGGGACAAAATACACATCATAACTAGGCCAAAAAGACCACCAATCCAAAAAAGTCGAGGTTTGGACCAAACCTCAGAAAAAATACATACCACAGGGACCATTTTTGCAGTTTTGTCAACATTTATTGAATATCGATACATTCATTTATGTAAGCATGTGTACATGTTTATACCATTTCGCTTATATGGCTATACAATCTAATTTAACTAGATGAGGCTTTGTTATGTATAACTTACTTACTCAATCGTTCAATATCTTTTTCTTTTTAGGGGTCTCATCATCATTTGTCGTAAGCTACAAAATCAGGAGGTGGATACAAAATAGTGAAATCTAAAGGTGTTATTGTGGTGTGAAAGCTCAATTATTCACGCCCTGGACTCCCATGAACCATTAGAGAAGGTATTTGGGATGTCCTAAATTCAAGGGTTGTGTTTAAATTCCTAGGTAGGAAGCGTAATAAAGTCATCTTTTTTTTTTTCCAACTACGTTTCAATTTGTTTTTTACATGACAAGACGAGAGATTGTGAATACTGAAGATAGATTGATAAGGAATTAACAGTCTAAAGCTACAAAGGCTTACCTTTGAAAGGTACTTAAAGTTGACAAAAATGTAAGCAAATATGATGGCTTGGCAGCAGGCAGAACATAATTTTACAATAGTGTTTTATTTTGGGTTGTTTTAATAATCTGATTTTCATATTGTACATTGTAATATTTGTTTTGTTTGTAAAATTACTTATAATGACTTTCCCATTATCTGTTTATAAACGCGAATGAAGTTTGGGAATTAATAAAGCATTTTAGTATGTTTTGTAAGTTCATGTCAATAACTAATTGAATCCATAGATGTTTAGGTAGATAAGTACATTTATTATATGTAGATCCTCGTCTTGTATACATAATTCCAAAATGTTGGTTTGGAAAAATTCTCTTAACATATTTTGGTCACCGTTTTTGGGTAAAGCTCAACATTTAACATATAAGGTATCACTTGCATAATAATAAAATATCGGGAAGATTTATCCAATTACTTAATTAATTTATTAGGAAGAAGAGGTACCTTGTAGAATAATATAAACTCGTGAATACATGGTCGGATTACTTTATTGGGAACTAACTTATGAACTTGCTTTACATTTTCTAAAAAAACAAAAAATAAGTAATTGTTTATATTTACAAACAAGCATGAAATATTGATATTTTAAGGGATATTGACTTGATATGGTAACACACTATGCTTCATGTAGATATATGATCACTTTACCTTTTTTTTTATTAAAATATGTATTACCACTAATTTAACACCCATTTCCAATATGCATTGCGATTCAATCAGTCTTCAGTTAATTTGGGGTGTGTTTGGTTAGCGCGAAGTGGGCTTGCCATATGTGGTGCGGTGCACCCAAATGCTAAGCGTGGTGTGTCCTTGTTGTTGGGAAAAACCTAGTGCTTAGGATTTAGGCCATATTTAAATGCATTAACCTATAAGATTTCATCATTTATCAACTTTCAACCATCCGGAGCAAATCCTTTTTTTTTTTTTTTGAACGGCTGAAAAAATATAAATATTAGAAAGATCTAGCTAAGAGTTGGGACAGTTACAGGAAATAAAATACAAATACATAAGAACAAAAGGAAAATACATAGTAATTTAAAAGCAACACCAAAACACCTGATGAGCAATATCAAAATGACCGAAAGAGGTAACTAGTGCCCAACGAAGGGGAAATTTAGGAGATCAACAGCAGCAACAACCAACTTTGAATAACCTTTATTTTAAGGCCAATTACCTATGTCATTAACTGGTGTATCACTGGAGCTCACCAAAAGATAGCAGCCACGGACTTTAAGGTGGAAACCAAGTTTAAATTTGCCTTAGTATATTCAAGAGTATAAGGCTTCCTTGATACCAAAATTTTGTGGAGCAGACAATCCATGGCCTGCATACACTGCAGTGACAAGTGACTTTACTGATAACTCATCACCCATTAGGGGAATTAGGGGCATTTTTTGAACAAGAACTAGTCTCCAACATCTGCATACCCATGATCCTAGGTCGCAACTGATATAACTATATCTTTATGCATCAAGCCTGATAGACAACTTCAATGATTCCGCAACCCTATTGATAGGGGTAATTTGGTCAAAACTTCCACCAGCATCACCTCCAACCTTCTGAAGCAAATCCTAACCTCCATTATTGCATTTTGGAGCCTTAGTGACCAATTTAACTAGTTAAACTTTGATCTATACGTAATCCATATATAGGAATATAAGAACTAAGTTGGATATTTTATGTTGTCTTCATAGGGTTGCATCTCACACCTTTGAATAAATAATCATTCATCGCCTTCTAGAAGAGTGTATAAATCAATGACCATTTCACTCCCCAAGATACAAGGTCTTTGCTGTTAATAAGAAATTAACAATACCAAACAAGACCAATCATTCAACCATCTCCAAATAGAAATAACATAGCTACAACTAAGATTCTAAATAACGAGAGACATGGTGTGATAACGATGTCAAATTTCAAGCTTTCTTAAAACGTGACGTAAGATACAAGTCTTGAAGATATGACACACCTATGACAAACTTCTTAAAACCATGACTACAACTTGAAAAAGATAATCTTACTTCTAACATTGCAACATAAAAGAAATGAAAGAGCAAATAAACAGCTACGAAATATATTACAACGATGTCAGAAGCTGCAGGACCTGCGCCTTTCCAACTTTCTTTCTTTCTCTTTACCATCATCACTTTGAGAGAAAGTGAGAAAATGATATCCACTCTTTTGTCCATGTTTTGTGGTCAGTGTCCCAAGCAGGTACACCTTACCATCTTTGAAGTTATGGCTTAACTGAATTTCTTCATCATACAATTTTTGTAAGGCTGCTTGTGGTTTGCTTCTAGTATTCAGGGTTATCTCATGTTTTCTGCCACTAGCATTGATTTCCACAGTAACATTCTTCTCCTTAGTTTGCTTGTCAATACCAATAAGTGAAGCCTGCATACATTAATTAGTAGAAAAAAATTCCAGTCTTTCATTGTTAATCAAGAGGAAAATGAACATATGGATGCATATACCATACATGTCTGAAATGTAAAATATTTTCTGGATCAAGCTTCACAGAGATTGTTTCACCACTTTTAATCTCGACTCCTGAATAACGAGTTTGCAAAAAACAATGAATGTAAGTAAAACTTAAACACCAGATTGTGGCAAAGTGTACCACTCCTGAATGCATGCAATCTTATAAATAAATCCAAGCCATTTCAAACAAGGCAGGCTTTAGTAACGTGTAGATACATCAATACACAAACAAACAGAAAAAATCCGATTGATATACATGTATTAGCACATAAGTAGTCTACCTAAAAACAAAGTTCTAGGCCTATGGAAAAGATATATTCTAATAACAAACAGCTCAGCTGTGCATTCCAATTAACTTCCACCAGCAGCACAGACAATCAAATTGAAAATAATATACCAAGCATCTAATATCCACATGAAACATAAAAAAACATAAATGAAGCGAGACATTTGTTACCCCAAAACTTCATTGACTTAACCTTGCTGCATACACGTGCACATTCAGAAGCCAAAGTTGCTTCATTCTGTCAATAAATATTCACACATTATATATCAAAACAACACAATTCAATGATTCATAATAGTATCTATTTGGAATTCTGAATTAAAATTGCCAAAGTAACCTTTGCAAAATTAGGTTCATGAAAAGGTGGATATTCATGCACGCGTGGTCTTTTTGGAACCCACATAGGTATAATGTTCCATTTTTTGCATCATGACTTAAAATGATGTCTTCATCGAACTTTAGGTCCATTACTTGTTGTGGCAGCCTCTCAGGGTGAAGCCTTGCAAGTTGAATTGTTTTGTCACATGTATCGACTTCCAAACACACAGACTTCTTTTCTTCATGATTTCCGGTACACACAAGAGAAGCCTGCATGCATGAATTAAACAAATAACAAGTTCATTTAATGTTAATGCAAAACAAAACCAAAATGGCATGCACATACCAGTTTAAGACTCAAATAATTCCCTTGATCAAGCTTAACATGAAGCCTTTGACCGTGTTTCACTTCAGCCCCTAAATTACAATTTTACAAAAACATCAAAAATTAGAATAAGAAAACACATATGATATGCTCAAATAGAAATGATCAAATGAGAGAGAGAGAGAGAGAGATATTATCTTACCCCAAAAACTCATGATTGAATACTTTTTGCATCTATGTGAATAAACAGATGCAGAACTTGCTTCTTCCACTGTTGGTTTATCTTTTTTTTTATCCTCAGGCTCCTTTTCGTGTGTAACTCCAAAAAAATAAAGACTATTATCTCTCAGCGTATGGGTTAATGAGAACTTCTTATCAATTGACAAACACAACCTTTGTTCGGAGTGCCTCCGGGGATTAAAGTTTCCAGCAACTAACTTTTTTCCATCAACAGTTATATACAGAGAAACAGAATCCTCATGAATATCCTCCTTCGGTACTCCAAGATAAGCCTAAGTAGAATTTCATTTTTTAATTAGTTGAATGTTAATGAACAGCAAAATAAGGATATCTCCTGTTCCAGTAATACCTTTAAAATAACCAAAATCGTTCCCTCAGCAATGTCTGCTACAAATCGTTCACCAGCTCTCACCTCACAACCTAAATCAAACAATATAATCATCATATTAACAACCTCCCAAACCCCTAACCATCACAGATAATAAAAATTGAAAATAACAAATCTAAGAACCATCCAACGTCCATATGAAAACAGAAACCCTAACTGCATAAAGGAAAATGAAGATACTGAAATAGAAACGAATTCCTTACCCCAAGAGGCCATTGTTGCAGAAGAGAAGTATGTAGAGCTTTCATGAGACAAACACTGCGTGTATCAGCTGTTAGGTGTTGTTTGTTTTTGAACAACAAAATGTCTGCAGTTCAAAAGGTGGACCAAATGTCTGTAGTCTGCAAGAAGAAGACTGTTTGTTTTTTAAAGTCTGCAGACTGCTAAAAATAATTGATTTTTTTAAACTTAAGACTTTGAAAAAAAGATTAATAAACAAATTTTAATTATTTATATACAATGTACAAAATTTAACAATTTCCATTGCATTATCGAGCAATAAATAGGATCATTTTGAAGACATTAATAAACAAATTTTAACAACCTACATATAATGAATGAAAATAGCCACACTACATTACATTAAAAAATTATCCAAACATCAAACTCCAAGTTCATGAGAATTTCTAGTTGGTACATTACACTCATCTCCCTGATCCTCATAATTAATTTTAACTAGTGTGTGAATCCATGGTGAACCATGGGTCACACTATTTATTAATCCATGGTTGTTTTCAACGTGAAGGATATCTCACAATCCTTCAAAGACATTACATTTGGAACAATAAAATTAGTCATTAATCAATATACATTGCTATAAATTCAACTAAAACGCCCTGCAAAGAGGGATATAATTCATATCATTAGCCTCATCTGTTAAAATAGTAATCACACATACGAACACTTCTATTATTTGCTAGAGACTAATTATATGATGAAAACCACAAAAAAAACATAGAAAATGAGGCAAAATGAAGCAGATTCTTGATACATGGACCATTTTTGTAATTGATTCTTGCCACAAGGACCATTTTTGTAACAGTTTCTTGCCACAAGGACCATTTTTGTAACAGATTCATGATATAAGGACCTGTAAAAATTTATGCCACAAGGACCATTACTATAACAGATTATTGATATAAGGATGATTTCTATAAATATTTATGCCACAAGGAAAAAGGGTATAATATAATTTAAAACTAAAACAGAAAAATAAAATTCAGATTTAGAATATTGTCGCATAGGGAAAGAGGGGTAAACTGATCATTAGGAAAAAGTGTCATTATACTTTAAAAAAACGTTGGTTAAAAAATAAATGAAGAGTTGGTTAAACCAAAAGCAAAAGTAAAGGTTTTTCTACTATGTTACCCGATTATTTCTACAGCTTCAAATCAACTGATCAATCATTTTCTGCAATTCTGTAAAACAGAACCAAAGGTGTGAATAGTTGACCTAATTGATATGCCCTTGAAATTTAGAAGAAAGTAATTACATTTATTAGCAAAGTGGAGGCTTCAAAATTGCCATTGTTAGATACTATGAAAACCATATTACAGTGAAAGGGTATAATATAATTTCAAACTAAAACAAAAATATAAAGTTCAGATTTTACAATTAATTAAATCATGAAAAAAAAAACATATAAAACGAGGCAAAATTAAACAGTTCTTGACACAGGAACCATTTGTAACAGATTCTTGACACATGGACATAGGGACTATATAAGAACCAAATCTGTAAAAACCATATTACAGTGAAAGGGTATACTAATATAATTTCAAATTAATATAGAAATATAATGTTCAGATTTTACAGCTAATTAAATGATGTGAAAACAACAAAAAAAACATAGATTATGAGGGAAAATTAAGCAGATTCTCGACACAGGGACCATTTCTATCTGTAACAGATTCTTAACACAGGGACCATTTCTGTAACAGATTATTAACACAGGGACCATTTCTGTCACAGACATGTAACTTTTCATCCTTTATCAAATTAAGTGTCGTGTTTATTACAACCATACGCCAAAAAATTAAGAATATGGGGGAGTTGAGTTGCTGAGTGGTTATGGGAGTTAATTCCACAGCCTGTATTAGACCCACCTAACCCAACTAAAAACGAACGAATGCATTCAATTATTTCCCACTTATACTTAATCCTAAAGTACATGAATAAACCACAACAAAATATAAGTGGCAAATGCTAAAACTTTGATAAATGTTTACTGCAGAAAGGAAGCCAAGTGTTAAAACCACTCTCTCACTCACACATTACAATGTCTAATAATGAAATAGTTGAGACTTGTATCAACCGTTACTCTTTGAATTTGGAAATCGTTATTTATCATCTTCAAGCATTATTTGGGTCATCAATTGCCATATGGTCTTTCCCCTTTTTCGCTAGATATGGCATCAACATCAAGAATTTTACCAAATGCATAATATTCTGATTTCTAAGTAAGGATTTTACAAACTAATATACAGGTGACTGGGAAACAGATTAGAAAGAGTTTGGCAATCAAGGTAACAGAGAAACACTGATTTTGCACAAATTTAGACAGAGTGAAAAAAAGTCACCGTGTGCGTATGAGAGAGAGAGAGAGAGAGAGAGAGAGAGAGAGAGAGAGAAAGAGATTACAGTTGATATACCTTATGAATCAGAAATTAAAGACTAATTGATGAAAGTGAAGACAATAAGGCCGATTTCATCTTTAGAATCGCAAGCGAGTCATGATTTCATCTTCGAGCCTTCGGATTCGAAATAATTGGATGTTGGGTATTTTTCGTTCTCCAATAAGGCCGATTTTTTGCCGATTGGGAACATGATTGAACAAGTATTTCAGAAATCAGCAATATTTACATATGAAGAAACCACTTTTGTTGATATTTTTACATAAATTCAGAAAGATTGGAGAAGTCGCTGATCAGAATCGTGAATTTTTACAAATTGCTAACTGTGTGCTAGTTTACAACTTTTTATCAATGTATTGTATCGTGAATACCTAACACATAATTGTCTTTTTTTTTTTTTTTTTAGTTGCATATGAATTTTTGATAAGCATTAACTATATAGATAGTGATGTGAAATCCTGAACGTACTTTGTGATATGCTATTTTTTTTTTAACGATTGATAGATCAATTTGGTACTATATCTAAATAAACCAAACTGCTATAAAGTGCCCTCCGTGTTTTTATTTTTATTTTTTTAGATAAAGTGCCCTCCGTATTTTTATTTTTTTTTACATTAGACGCTAATTTAAGGGCACGCAATAATGCGTGACCTAAATCCTTAAATTTTTTGAAGAGACGACACTTTTTTAATGTCACTCTCTTTTGCGTAACATAAATCAATGAGTGTCGTGGTTTGCGTGACATCGTTGTTTTGGAAAATATTCCAACATCCCTTATGATGCTAGGAATATTTGAAGTTATGTTGATAGAAGTTCATGTGTTGCCAAAACAAACCACATTATAAAACAATAGTTATTCCACAAAATATTGACATACTGCATCGATTCTTTGAAGCAACAATCGGCTAAATAATAACATTTAACATTAGTTTGAGTCCAATAATTGTCATGTTTCTTGTCCGAGGTTTGTGTGGACAGGTTCCCTTTGGAAACGAAGCTCTATTATAGATGTTATTTTGTTGCAGACGTTGAGACGTTCCATCATTCAAACATGATTTTGAGCTCACAAACATCAGTCTCATTGGTTGCAATAAGTGAGGAACTAAACACATTATTTTGAAAATGTAAGCAGTGAACTTCAAAAATTGTCTGTTTTAAACCCTACCGGTGGATAAATAAAATCACTTAATATTTGGTGTCATATTTTATGGCTATCTTGAATTAGAAAAAGTTGAACTTCAAATGCCATGTTTGATTTCTTCATTGGCATGCTCAATATTACCAATGTAATGAAATCTTAAAAGAGATTGACGACGTAAAGCCATATTAAAAATGGATGAATATGATGCTATTCATGAAAGTCGGTCTAGAGGTGTCATCAAAGGTACAGTTGTATATAGAGACTCCTATTTGATTGAAAAAATGTATTATGAAAACATGTAATCAATTGCGATTTATAAGGCCTTATATATAACATAACTAAAGTAAAATTACATTCAATATAACAGAACAAATATGGGTAATCAATTTCAACTACTATTTTTTCTCCAGAGCAACAGTAACAGAAGTAAGTTAACACTAATGGTCAAATTTAAGAAGTAAAAGATTATGTTTGGTTGTTTGAGATAACTAGAGATATCGTAGGGTTTGGAAAGACTGTGACAACAACAAAGCCAAGATTGCCTCGTGTATTGATTAGTTCGACACTTAATAATGAATTGCATAGTGCATTTGAGAACCGTTTGGGCAAGTAGGATCCATATAGGTATAATAACATCCACATAACAACATCTAAAGTTTATCTGACATGCTTTTCATAGATCTCTCAAGACATGATAGAGATGGGGGGTAATGAAGCTTCAATGAATTGACAATGGAAACAGGAGGCGAGTAGAAGGAGTTTGTGCATTGGAATAAGTTGACCCGCTCGAATTAAGAATGAGGTGGATGGAACGTACATTGTTGACCCATATGTTCGTTAGTAGTTATTTTTTAAGTTTAAAATGTATGCACCATTTTCAAACAATGATTCACACGTAAGTGTGATCCATTTAAAATAACTTACGATTGTTTAAGAAAACTATGTAAAGTGTACATGTCAAGTGTACACTGAATCCTTATCGAATTGCGTTTAGTAGCACATGGAAAACAATCACATTTCATAAATGTACATCGCTAATGTCACAATTTGTCCACAATGGAGTTTGGTCGAAGACTATTTAAATGTGCGTAGGAAACAAGCACATTTGATAATACCTCACTAATCCCATACATTGCTTGCGATAATATGCGGTTGAAACTAGCTTTATACAACATTTATTAAAGATCAATACATTCATTTATGTAAACATATGTACATGTTTATACCATTTTGCTTACATGGCTATACAATCAAGTTTAAATAGATGAGGGTTTGTTATGTATCACTTACTCAATTGTTCGATATCCTCATCATTTGTCGTAAGCTACAAAATCATGAGGTTGATACAAAAATAGTGAAATCTAAAGGTGTTACTGTAACACTCATAAAATTTACGCCAATTTAAAACATTTTAATCCATTCAAAAACCATTAAGTTATTACAACTTGTTTTCAAAATAGTTTAAACATCCGAGTATCCCCAGAACCAAATCACAAAATCATGAAATATGAGGAGCGGTACGTTCACGCCTTTGCCTTGCCACGATCTCCTGATGTACGTGAAACAATAAACTGAAACTGTAAGCCCGAAAGCTTAGTGAGTTCCCCCAAAATACCCATACACACATAACCATACACATACAACAATGAACAACATACTATGGGTCCAATCAACCGTCGGGTTGGAATACCCCAGGCCCTCAACCATCGGGTTGGAATGCCAACGTACTACGAGTCCAATCATCCTCGGGATGGAATACTCTCGGCCCACAACCATCGGGTTGGAATACCCACACACCTATACATACAATAACTACTATGGGTCCAATCATCCCTGGGGATGGAATACCCCAGGCCCTCAACCATCGGGTTGGAATGCCCACCTACTATGAGTCCAATCATCCTACCGGGATGGAATACTCCTGGCCCACAACCATCAGGTTGGAATGCCCACCTACTATGAGTCCTATCATCCTACCGGGATGGAATACTCTCGGCCCACAACCATCGGGTTGGAATGCCCACATACTAGCAAACATGTGCACCTATTAAATAATCACATAACAGTTTACAGAAACGACATAACAAGGCCCTATCATCCTACCGGGATGGAATACCCTCTACTACTGCTCAAACATGTGCACATATAACAAGTAATCTCCTACCAGCATACAGACAGACAAACCAACTACAGGTCACTAAGCATAGCCACATCCAATCTACCAGGATACCGATGTAACCAACAATACTAACACATAATCATCCTTTCTACCAGAATGCCGACTAACATATCACAGCAGTAACTATCTCAAATAACAAATCAAAGGGTCGGCCTTGGTGCCTTAGACCCTTGGGTATAATGAGGATAACTCACCTTGCAATTGCCGAACTGAAGAGATGAGATCAAAACTCCCGATCACTGCCACGAACACCACCGCCTAAAACTTCATTGAAATCATAACCATCAGAGCCCAAATTACCAAAATACCCCTTTGAAGTCAAACTGGCAAATTCTTGGTCAAAGTCACGGTCCTGGTCAAAGTAAACCTTCCTGATTGACCCTACTCGCTGAGTCAACCCATTGACTCGCCGAGTTCTTAAACTCAAAAAACTCTCATATCACGACTCGACTCGTCGAGTCACCCCATGACCCGTCGAGTCCATCAATCTCCGAGTCCTATCCTGACCAACTCACTGAGTCACCACTCAACTCACTGATCTGAGTCTTAACCAAAAGCGGTTGGGGGGTTTTGCGTTTTGACTCGCCGAGTCCAAGAACAGACTCGCCGAGTCCACGACAATCTTCATCAGACTCGCCGAGTTGTTCATCCAATTCGTCGAGTCCATGCCCATGTTCATATGACTCGCCGAGTCAACCCATGAGACTCGCCGAGTCTCTTCAGTCTTTCATCCATACAGTCACTTTTTGAGCCATGCAGAGGCTCCATGCTGTAGATCCATCCTCCTAGGGCATGACTCTCACGTAAAGCTGCCAACTTTACGTGAGTACAAGGTGCAATTGGCCCAAAACAAGCTAGGGCTAGGGTTTAACGCAAGAATGCTTCACAACCAAACCAAGGGCTGCTGCTTTATGGTTTCCTGGACCAAGGCTAGTCTAGATCTGAAGTTGCAACCTCAGATCTAGACCCATAATCCGAAATGGATCTTAAACATACTAAAATGGCCCCAAATCCATCCATAAGTTGATCTAGAAAGGAAGGGATCAAGGCAACAACTTGTTACCTCAAAAATGTGCCCAAACTGAAGTAGATTATGGATCTATACGAGTCCCTTGATGCTATACACTTGATCTACAAGCCTCCTTTGCTAGAATCTCCTTCCAAAGCTTCCAAGCTTACTCCAAAGGCTCACACACGATTTTAGGGTTTTCTGACTCTCAAGGGGTAACAAGGAGGCTGAGGTGAGGAATTAAGGTCCTTTAAATAAGGTGCAAACCCTAAGACTAGGGTTTTCTCTTCCCAACACCAACTCGTCGAGTCCAGCCGCCGACTCGGCGAGTTGGTCACTTAACTCGCGACCAGAATCCGCTCCGACTCGACGAGTAATCGAACCTACTCGTCGAGTAGCTTCCTCAATTTACACTTTAAGCCCTTAGATCATATTTCTGAAGTTTGGGATGTTACAGTTATTGTGGTGTGAATGTGAAAGCTCAATTATTTAAGTCCCGGACTCCCATTTGGGATGTCTTAAATTCAAGGGTTGTGTTTAAACTCCTAGGTAGGAAGCGTAATAAAGTCAAAAAAAAAAATTCGCTACATTTCAATTTGTTTTTTTACATGACAAGATGAGAGATTGTGAATATTGCAGATAGATTGATAAGGGAATAACTGTATAAAGCTATAAAAGCTTATTTTTGAAAGATACTCAAAATTGACAAAAGTGTAAACAAAAATGATAGCTTGAAGCAGGGAGAACATAATTTTACAAGAGTGTCTTACTTAGGCTGGTGGGTGTGGTGTCACACTTGCTTCGGTCCACATCAGCGCCACATCGTATTCGCCACACTGTTTGCCACATTTGCCATTTAGAAGGTATGAGTTGCCACGCTTGTCATTTTTTTTAATTTTTTTGTAAATTAATTATATTAAATATAATTAATTTAAACAAGTTATTTTAAAACCAAAGAGTATTATAATAATTAATTTATACTTTTGGGATATAATAATAATTAAC